AGGTTATTTTAGTAGTAATAATCACTCTCATAACCCAGCACGTCCCTGAACCGTGTACTTTTAAGTATCTGCCATTTGTCTCGTGATATTTTGTTATCATTTGCTTCCTCACCCCCCAAATCTCTCATGTAATACTTTCATTGAATTGAAATTAACTTTTACCAGGCACAAGTACTCCTTTTTAGATATCTTATTAATGCTTTTTTTTTTTTTGGATTCCTTGTTGTCTAGTCACATGTAATTCTGACAATCACATTACTTTTGTATTATTGTGAGGAGAAAGCATCTGACAGAAAGCACACACAGTAAGAGCCAAGAGTTGCAAGGAAAGGTTTCATTAACACCCTCAAGGGAAGGGTGATATTCTATATTCAAAACAACCTCCTAAGAATAACAGTAATAAAGACACACACTAACATGCAAGAATAGAAAATTTTACTTAACTCTGGCTCCTTAAATGATAAGCATAAAATAAGTAAAATAGAATAAAATATAAGCATAGATAATAGATAAGAAATTATCAGCTGGGTGCCAGTGACTCATGTCTGTAATCCTACCTACACAGGAGTCTGAGATCTGAGGATCAATGTTGAAACTAGCCTTGGCAGACAAATCCCAGCAACCCTGATTTCCAATTAAATGTCAGAAAGCCCGAAGTCAGGGTGTGACTCAAGTAGTAAAGCACCAGCTTCAAATAAAAACCTAAGCAAGACCTTAAAGTCCTGAGTTCAAGCCCCAGTATACACACACACACACACACACACACACACACACACACACACACACACACAATTTAAAAATTCACCCGAGAAAGAAATTTCCTTACATTTCTTCAGGCAATAGCTTTATCCGTATGGGACACTGTTATGCTAGGAAAGCAGAGGCACAGATAGTAGATATTAAATATTTAATGGTAGGTATAGATTCATGAAGATATGAAAACTGTAGTAAAAATATGAGAACTTCTAGAAATTGACTCTCCATAGAGTTGGCAAACAGACCAAGGCCAGCAAAAACTTAATAATTTCCTCCTAAAAATTTCTTCAGGATAGATTCTAATCTCCAAAATGTGGCATGCAAGATCCTTCCTGACCTGACCCTTGTCCACTCATCCATGCCCACTCTGGCTTTGAGCTTGTTTTAACCAGGCCTCCTCCTCCCTGTTAAACCATGTGTGCTTCCACTGATACCTTCTTGCAGATTCAATCCCCCATTGTGCACAAGTCCAAAGTGTCCTTCTTTTACTTATCTGCCTACTCTTTATTTAATATTCCAATCAAGAATTACTTATTCTGTGATATTATCTCCAAAGAGAGAGAGGAAAAGTAACTACTTCTTCCATTCTGTTCTCTAGCATCTTGTATACATAAGAAACTGAGTTCCTACAGGCTTGCAGTATTAGCTGTCTCATTCACTGAACTATGCATCCTGACCTCCAGCACTGAAATGAAATGGCATTTGTATTAGTTATCTCTAAAATGCTGATCACTTTAACTACTTAGTAGAGAATGCCCACTAGTAAATTTAAATAATGTCACAAACAATTCAAAATTTGTATCATTCCTACTTATTTTTAATTTTAAATTATCTTTTGAATTTAGAATTTCTTGCTTTCAGTATTCTTCTCTACCAAGGCTTAGGACTGCTACTTGAAAACAGGTTTCAAGCATGAGGGCACTCCATTAATACAAGATTTTACAGTGTAATTCTGGGACAAAAACCTTGCTTGGTTATCTCTTTGAGCTTACGACCTTCCTCTAGCACATGTCGTGCTTAGTGTTTAAGATAATTTCCCCCTAACATTTATGTCTATTTATGTCTAAGATGGTTCCAGTAATCCTCGATTGGCTATTTGATCATAATTTTATTCAATATTTCATTGTAAGTCCCATTCTATACATGCCCTCCACAAATTCTGTTAATGAATTTGGCTTTCTTTTTTCTGCTTTTTTTAAAGTATAATTTTATTGTTATTATGAAAGTGTGGCACAGAGGAGTTGCTACTTCACAATTCAGGTCATGTGTACATTTCTCTTTTGGACAAAGTTACCCTTCCTTTTCTTTCTTCCTGCTTGCTCATAGCCTAGCAGCACTCATCTCCTAGTCTAACTTCTTAAATGTCTTGGAATATGATGGCTCATTTAGTAAAGACTCTATACCCTTTAGGATTGTTTGCTCCTGTACATTTGGTTTAAATGTGTTTTAACCCCCCTTCAATACTGTCTCAAAGACAGGGTCATCTTCTTTTCTATTTCACACCTTGCTAGATACAAGGCAAACATAAAATCCTTTTTTTGATTTATTGACAAACACATCCCACCATGTTTTGATAATTTCTTATAGCACATAAGTTTGCCTTCATGTTGTTATGTGGCTTTTATAAAAGTCACCTCCACCTATGGATTATAAATCTGTTTAGAGCAGGAGTGAATTTCTATGTGGAAAGCCATTGGAATAAGTAATATACAAATTCAGAGTCAAAAAACACCAGTCTGAACATTACTGCTTCATGGAAAGTTATCTTTTATGACCATCTTTTTAAAAATATTATCTTTAAGTGGCTGTACAAAGAGGTTTTACAATGCAACTTGACGAATTCCATCATTCTCCTCCATCTTCTTTATTAAAAAATCTTTAAAATAAAAACAAAACACTTGGAGATGGTATGAAAATTAAGTGAGATAGTATGTCTAGAAACATTATGCAAATGCTATCATGTGGTTGCTATAGATGATAATGCATTTAAAAACATTTCCAATTTTTAAAATTATTTTGTGGGAATACATGTTGTGCAGGAGATAGATTGTTTTAGAAGAGTCTGAGTCTCAAGTTGTGCTAGCCTGTTTACTAGGTTTTTAAAGCAATAGCTAGAAAAGTCCCATTTCTCAGCTTGCCTCCTCCTATCTTTAGGATACATTTTTTTTTTCCAGCCCCACATAATTTATGGCAATGCATTCTACATTTTTCCATCTTCTTATCAAACAGGACCTCTTATGAATCCTATTTCTTCTTGCTTGCTTGACCCATTCAACCATAAAATAGGCCTTGTGGATTCTCTCTGCCATGTCACTGGGGTGGCTGTGGTACCTGGAGGAGTGTTCTGTACCTCTGCCCATCCCCCACTCCCCCCCCCCCCCCCATCTCCTGTCTGCTTTGCTTTCCTGCGGGCTTCTCTTCCCCTCTGCTGGCTGCCTGGGAGAAGCACACTTCCTGGCTTTGGCCCCACCAACATCAGCTTAGCTCCCTCCCCCATCTTTCTCTCCGAGCCAAACCATCACCTGCCAAGGGCTGGTGGTGGTTGCTGCGTCCCCGGTCCACGGCCTCCCACGGCTGCAGCTCTAGTCCTTCCTGGCAGCCTCTTCTAAAGTTCCCCCAGCCCCGTCTCACCCGCGCCCCTTGCCAACAGCCTCCGCCTCTAGCCTGCAGCTTTCCGGTCCCCCGCCAGCCGCGCCCCCGCTCGGTCTGCGCGCTGCCTCTGCCTCCCGCCCTGGCCAGCTGCTCCACTCGCCTTTCCTCAGTCCGCTCCCTTCTCCTTTCCTTTCCCCTCCACCCTGCAGCCTATTTCCTTCCAACCTCCCTACCCCTTCCTTGATCGCTGTTTTGTGAACACCCCTGGCCACCTCTGCACAGTCTCCTTGGCTTCGAGAAGGGTGCACCATCTAATTTGGAAAGAGCATTTTTATGCCTCTCCTGTCTTCCCCACCCGGGAACCCATGCCAACTCCCCAAGCCTGCCTGGCGGATGGTGAAGAAGGTAGATAGGATTCTGGGAGGCATCAGGCCATAATCTCGGCAGACCCCCCCCCCCCCAACGCACACAAACAAACCCCAACAAACTAAAGTTTTGGACGCTTGAGAGATTTGCCATCTTCGTGTTTTCCAAAACTTGGTCATCCCTGATAACTGATCTAACCCCCTTCTCCCAGCTGCGCGTGGGAACCGGGGCGCTCTCCGCTCCCCTGTTCCCCAGGTTATGGCTCCTCTAAGGATGCCCAACGATCGCTCTGCAGTCCCAGCCCCTAGCCAGGGTCTGTAGCTTGAGCCCCCCCCCCCCCCCCCCGCCCCAAGCCCGGATGGGGAGGGGCGCACTTTGTCTGGAGGCCTGGTGGTCGCGGTGGAGCCAGGTGAAAGGGTGTATCCGCGGGTGCCAGGCTCAGGATGAAGGGCGGGTTACTGTTCAAATCCAGGGCCCTGATCACACACAAGGCTGAGACGTCTCCTTTAAGAAGAGCGTGTGCCTGCGTGTGTGTGCATGCGTGTGTGCGCGCGCGCGCGGTGTGTGTGTGGGTGTGTGGGACCGGGTGTGAGCGCGCGTGGCGGTGTGTGTGTGTGTGTGTGTGTGTGTGTGTGTGCGTGTGTGCGCGCGCGCGCGCCCGGGCCCGAGAGCACGGCGGACCCCGGGAAGGAGGAGTTATGTAGATTACGGATGAACATCCTGGAGGGGAGCGCGGAGAGGAGGGGAGGCGAAGCCGAGGCGACGGCGCGCGGAGCGGCCCAGGCCCTTCCCGCAGAGGCTGGGGGCGGCGGCGGCGGCGGAGTAGGCGGTGGCGAGGGCGGAGGAGGAGAAGGAGGAGGAGGAAGAGGAGGAGGAGGCGGCGGAGGACGCGCGGGCTGGAGGCGGTGGCGGCGGCGGCGGCGGCTGCTGCTGCAGCTGCGACTCGGTGCTTTTGAGTCCGAACCGCCTGTGAACTTGGGCGCCACGTTCTGGCTTGACCGAGCCCCCCCAGCCTCTCCTCCCAGCCCGAGGATGGTGGACGCCTGCTGACCCTGCCGGCCCCCGCCGCCGCTGCTTCTCCGGGGCTGCCGTGTACAGGGGGCGCCCTCCCCCCCCCCGCCCGCCTCAGTTTCCTCCGGCTGCTGGCTGGTGGGTGAACCTGCCAGCTCCTTGCCCACCCCGAGGACTTTTTTTTTTTTTTTTAAGGAAACAAGAGAGAGGGAGGGAGAGGGAAAGAAGGAGACACAAGGAAGGGAGCTAGTCCATCCATTGAAGCACAGTTCACTATGATCTTACTCACACTCAGCACTGGAAGACGGTTGGATTTCGTGCATCATTCGGGGGTGTTTTTCTTGCAAACCTTGCTTTGGATTTTATGTGCTACAGTCTGCGGAACGGAGCAGTATTTCAATGTGGAGGTAAGAGTGTGCACGGGTTTCCTTCCTCTCCCACCACCCCCCACCCCCACCCCCTGCCTGCCTGGGCTGTTCCCTGAAACATTCCCTTCACTCTTCCTATCCTCCTAGCTGGGAGCAGCCAGGTCCCTGCACACATTGTTTCCCTTTCCAGCCGCCAGAACCCGGGTTGAGTTTCCCTGTGTCTTAGGTGATGGATGCCAGTGAGACCCAGAATCCGTTATCCCCAGCAGCACAAAGCACGATGCTGTGCGTTCAAAGACACAGCCCCAGCTGTTCCAAGCCTCTGACCCAGGGGAGAGGCGAAGCCCTACCTATGGCAAACGGGTCGCTTCCGAAGGAAGCCTGAGTTTATGATGGATGAACAGCCCGGGGAACAAAATTGATTGCTTGACATCATGGGCTGCCTTGGTATTGTTCCTGGAATCTTTCTCCCCTTGGTTGGTGCCTAACAAAGGAGGTAAAAAAAAAAAAAAAAAATCAAAGAATCTAGAGGAGAGCGTGGGAATACTTGCTATGTTTAATAACATTACTTTGTGATAAAACACTGGGCCAGACAGAAATCTCCCCCCGCCCCTCATTTAGACATAACTTAATACACTGTAACTGGATCTGACTACACAGAGGACATGAAATCCATCTCTTGTTAAAGTGTCTTCTGGCCCCTTCCCCCGCCAGTGGAAAAACAAAACGTGGTCCCATGGAATAGTTCAGCGCTGTGGGCTTTTTTTCTCTCGTTTTTTTCTTTTTAAATTTGATTTCACATACTCACAACAAGACAGAGATCTTGGATTGTCATTTGTTTGACTGTGATTGCTTTGAGCACAGACTGCACAAAGCAAGAGGCAACTTAAGGATAAGGGCTTGTCAGAGCTCTGCCAAACCCTCTTCCAGTCAGTCGTCAACTCAGGGCAGGAGCCAGGGATGGGCAGTAAATCAATGGAAGCGTGTGCACCACACACCTGGGCTGTGACACAAGCTCATTATACATAAGGTGGATACAAAGATAACAAAGGATTTTTCTTTTTCTTTTCATTAGATCTGAAGTCTTTCCTTTCCAAAGGATGATAATTAAGCCCTTATGCAGTACAGTGACTTTTGTCTTATATTGTGGATTCATTATATCTTCCTGTCATTGCTGGGAGCCTGTTGTTTACACAATGGCTGGACCTGTTGCTTAGCATTTGAACATGCTTCCTGTAACCGATTTCTATACCAAGTGTGCAAATAAATGCCATGTGCAGAGGTATATTCTGAATATCGTTGCTTACAGGAACTGTTCTTAGGACTCCACGTCATAAGTGGTGGCACACAAACAAAGTATTTGGGAAAGTAAGAGCCGTTATCAACAGAGTTCAGGAACTTTGCAATTGTTAAGGATGGACATGCCACAGGAGCACCCCAGTGAGTAAACCAAAACAGTTTAGCCCTTTCAAAGATAAATTTTGTGTTTCCTGCATGAAAAGAGGAATAGGCAGGGACTTCAGGTCCAGACTTTGCTGGATGGAAAGCTAGAACTTTTGATACTCCATACCAGAGAGGAGAATTTTGGTACCTAGCCTTAGATCAAGAAATAATTTAAGGTTGGAATAAAGAAATCATTAGTTAATAGACTGGAGGAGTGAACATGGCAAGCTTTACTTTAGAACATGACAAACAGAAGGAAAGGCCTATTGCTTCAGATTGGTGAGGTGAAGTCTGGGGACTGGGGAGAAGGAAACAAGTGCTTTTTGCTTTTCTTGGGAAGAAGGGAAGGGAGAGCCTGTTTTGAGAGCTGCTTGCTTTGGGAAAGTCTTCCATTGGCTTCCAGAGACTAGCAGATATCAGTGTTTTGATGATTTTTTTAGGTATCTTTTATGATGCTAATCATAAATTAGATTGAATTTCTTTATGTTAAAGTCCCTTAGTTCACTCAGACAAGATTATGCAAGGAAAGTTATATGACAAAAAAATCACTTTGTTTCTAATTCCAGTCAATTTTTCAAGATCTACATAAAGGAATGGTTCCGAGAGAAGAGTTGTATTTCCATTTTGGGAGTATTTAAAATATTCCAGCCATACTTATTGCACCATGGAAAGGCAGTTAAGAGAATCAGAGTTAGATGACCTGGGAGACTTGAAAACGCTTTCCTAACACAAAGAGGAGTTTCTAATGATTCAGAAGAGATAAGATTTCATAGTCTGTATTATTCCTGAATCGTTTTACAAACTCTTAAGCACTTCCTTGGTTGGGTTTGTAAGCTTCTACTGTGAAATAACTTCTACTTTTTTTTGTCCTAAAACCCAAAAATATTATAAAGGACATCGAATGTTTAGACATCCTAGTTCATTTTTTAAAGATATTTCTTTCTGGGTAGAAAACATTAATAGAAAGAATCGTCCATTATTTTCTCCCCAGAAAAGTCACTTATGTTGTGTTCCTTATTTTTGGTAGCAAAACATACACACTGGGTTGCTTCATCTGATTGATTCTCAAGGACAATCTTAAAATAAACACTAATGGTATCAATCATGCATGAAGTGCACATGATCATATTTTTTCTAGTAAGCCTCCAAGTTATTATAGTTAGAACAAAGCTTCAAAGAGATGCTTTTAATGCTGACAGCAAAAAATTACAATGCTTTATTGATCACTGAACTTAACAGTTTGTCATAGCCCATACTTTTCATCTCTATGATAAAAGATTTAAAAGCCTATTCTCCTCCACCAGGAAGGGTTGAGATTCATATTAACTCTTTCGTGTCTCTCATTTAAAACAATAAATATTAGAGATTTAAGTTATAAGAGAATGCTTGAACATTTTTTATATGGATGTGAAAAGCCAGGAACAGAAAAAGAGGTCATTGGGTTTTTGGTTACTCTTGTTTTGCTTTTCAATAAGCCAAAGGGAACATTTCCTCACAGCAAGAAAGGGTTACATACTATCAAGAATAGTACTATGGAAGAGATCCAACACACTGCTTCACCTGTATTTCAGGTACAACACTGGTTAAATGTTGTTTGCAGTACTCACTCATATAGATAAATGTTTTGCATATCATTGGATTTTTTTTTGGGGGGGGGTTCTTTTACTGTGCAATAATTTACAAAATGCAAAGTAATTATACTGACAATAACTAAAAGAAAAAAAATGTCATTGGATATCATTCTGAATCCAAAGCGTTCATTGGTCAGGAGCAGCTAACTTATGAATGAGGAATTATGATTTAATTTCTGCTCTCTTAAAATCATTTTAGCTTTAAAATATTTCATATGGGTGATTTTCATGATGCTGGGTCTTGATATATATGTGTGTGTATGTATATATATGCATATATATATATATATATATATATATATTACATGAGACACTTCAGGGCATAAAAATATATGTTACAGATTTTTGAATGTTCTGTGTTAGGCAGGCACTATGGTAATCCTAGAATTTGAGAGTCTGAGCCAAGAGGACTGCAAGTTCTCTGGCAGCCTTGGATATATTTTCAGTTCAAGACCAGACTGAGTTCCATAATGAGAACTTATCTCAAGAAACTAAGCGGTGGGATGAAGCTTCGTGTCAGCGTGCTTACTGGGAATGTGTAGGGACCTGAGTGTGATACATACACACACACACACACACACACACACACACACACACACACACAGAATACACATTGTCCTATGTTGAGAAAAAGTTTTCTTCTTCTGTCCTTGTTGAACTAATCAACATGCATTATTCCATTTTCTCCTGAAAGTATTATAACACCTTACCTCCTCAAGTCAGGGACTCTCTCTATCTCATAATTTGTGATAGCAATTTTTAAATGGCTAACAGAAGGCGCTGTGTGGCAGATTGATAAGCATTTTATCTGCTGCAGAAGTACTGGTATACAGACACCCCAAATGTGCTTGCCATTTAAAGTGATCCTGAAGGCCCAAATCTGTCACAAGCAGACTCAGAATTCTTGGCAGCTCAAAGGTTCTGTAGTTTCCTGTGTAGGACCCACCTTGGCTCTGCTTGTTTCTGTTGAGTTGCCTGGATGGGCTGCTCCCAAGCCAGGGGTTATGTAGGAAATCCTGGCTTCTGTCCTTCTGTTAGACATGCACATTTCTCCTCCTGCCCCCTTGAGAAGTTCAGGAACAAAGTCCAAGCCCACCCCTCTATGTACAGTACAGCTGGATTTTCTCTTTCAGTTTGTTTTCTTCCTGAAGGAAGGTTAGAAGAGGGGTTGAGAGTAGCTTTCATATCATTCAGCTCCACATTTTCTACTCATTTATATTATTTATTCACATATGAAACTACAGTTGTTCAGTGGCATAATTCATTTCTCTGAAGCTGGATTAATAAATTGTCATATGCAAATCAAGTAATTCACTGAGATAACTTATCCCAACTACTCAAAATGAACCTGCTAAGGAAAACTTGGTAGATAGCCAACTTTTGTCAGGACCTCCCCTTCCCCCCCAAAATCTGTGGAACATTTGAGTCAATGTGTTAAATGTATTCAGCATTGGAAGAAAAATAATTTCCTTATGGCACTTTAGGAGCTTTCTGACCTTTCAGCATGAGTATTTCAAGGTGGAAATTTTATTCTTTTCTTTTGTTGTGCTTAAATATCTGTATATGTAATTCGATCCATTAACTTCTTTTCATTATGGAGTAATGTAGTCATGAAGAGCATGTACTCTGGAAGTAGACTACCTGGGTTCTGATCCCAGATCTTTAGCTTACATCTGAATTCACCTCTGTGAGCCTCAACTTACATATCTATAAAATGAAGATGCTGAAGATGCTGAGGGCTTTTCGGTTTGTTTTGGTGATTTTATATATCTATATCTAAATAGATATAGGACATATCTATCTATCTATCTATCTATATAGGATATACAAATAGATATACTCTATATCTCTTTTATATACATATCCTTTATATCGTATATCTTTATATTTCATATGAATTAGGATATATCCTTTATTATATATAGGCTATATATGTATATATAGGAGATCTATCTATATATGGAA